GACCTCATTACTGATAACAAAATTGAGGCTTGATGCATTAAGTTACTCACTGTAAAATAACAAGCTAGCTCAAACTTCAAACCTTACCTATTGACCACTTCAGAGATGCCCCCATTCTCACACATAGAACATCAGAAGACCAAAACTTGGGACCAGGGGGATAACTAGCAGAGGCAGTAAAAAGGAGCTTGAAATCACACAATCTGAAACTAACATAATACTCTGCATAACAAAATTCAGAATCAGAAACAACCTTATGGACTTTTTAGACTAATGAGTCTCAAGGAATTTGTACTAGATAAAATGCAGATCCATAGGCTCTCCCCGGCTTTATTAATTCATAATTTCAGAAAACCACATCTGTTAAAAACAATGTTGCAGGCTAGTCTGGTGCCCTACCAGGCCCAGGAAACAGTGATCACATTGATCAGAAGATTTTTTTTTTAAAGATTTCTTTATTTATTTATTTATACAAGCACTGGGTACAGTCAGAAGCGCGGGAGGGTGAGAGTATTCACCAGAGCCAAAGCGGGGAACAGAACAGGCAGACCAATGAAATACACTGCTGAGGGGAGCAGTGGGTGCAACAGGAGAAGTCTGCGCACCACGTGGGATCCTCGCAGGTGGCCCGGGATCAAACCGGCATTGCAGAGGCTGTGGGCAGCTTCACAGCCCAGCGCTCAACCACTGCGCCACCAGGGGAGGCCCGATCAGAAGATTTATCTGAAAAACTATGGACAATCCCTCTTTATTCTGGACTCACACTCCTATACAAGTGTCCTGAAACAACATTAGCATTTCAATGATAGACTCATCATGGAAAATCTATATTGAATTTAGGGTTAGCAAATATCCTCAAGTCCTTTGCTCAGAATTTATCATCATAGTTATTCTTGACTCTTTAACAACACAGGGATGAGGTTCGAAAAACTAAAACTAAGGATAATTTAAGCCTGTTTAGTTTACTCCTCCCTCCTTTCCCACATTCATCCTTCATTGTTAAACTCAGCAGCGTTCCCATCTCCTCATGGGCATCAAATTATAACACAAATAGATAGAAGTTCTCCTTAGACAGTGTAGCTCACATTTCAATTCCATTCAACAGATATTTAATGAGCAGATAATTCTACAAAATTTTTAAGTGCTGAGTACTTAATGGATAATTATATAACTCAGATATAATTCAAATACAAAGTACAATTGGTAATTGACCACAAGAGAGATGCAAAGTGTTATATGTCTGTTCAAAGAAGACAAAGATCCATCTTGTTGAGGGTGTACTGAGGACAGAGATAAGCCTCATGGGGGAGATCCCATTTGAGATGGAGCTTCAAGGATCATGAGTATAAGTGGTCAAAAGAAGGCAGCTTGTATACAGGAAATCTTGTGAGTCAAGTAATGAATATGTTGAGGGTGTGGGTGGTTATAGAGTAGTCCTTTTTAAGGTTAAAAAAGTATGTTAGTGCTAATGCATGAAGCACCTGCAAGCTAAATTTGGATTTCATTTTCTAGAAGTGGGGATTTCTGGAAGTTCTAGAGCAGAGAAGTGGTCACCCAGGACAGACTGAGGCCAAGTGAGATTGCAGGCAAGGGTTCTGGTTAAGAGGTAGGAGGTAGTAAAATATTTACAAATTTAAAAAGTTGCAAACCACCTGTATTAGTTTCCCATGGCTGCTGTAACAAATTACCACAAGCTTCAGGCATGAAAAAACAAACATCATTTTCTTACAGTTCTGGGGGTCAGAAGTCCAAATCAAGGTGGCTCTAGGGAAGAGTTTGTTTTCTTGTTATTTCCAGCTTTCCCATCTGTAGTGTTTGCATTCATTGACTCCTGGCCCCTTTTGAAACACATATTATTTTGTAATTAAAATAAAGAAAAGTCGATGAAGGCCAGTGACCATGCAAAGGGAAAAAGTGATGTGACATGCATTGCAGAGATCAAATCTCTAAATTTGCCATCCTCTTAAATCTTAGCAACCATGGAGAATGAAACACCACTCCCCAAATTTGCAGCCTGGGTGACCCCACAGCGCTAGGCTGCTAGTAGACTGGGCAAGTGGCACTACTTGGGAAAGATGAGGTGTCTTTCAGATAGATGTGTCTGTTCTTTTAGGCAATCCCACTAGTACTTGGCTTTTATTCTGTATGACATAAAACTTCCAGAATTTCCATCTAATCAGTCATTAGGAGAACATCTTTTTTTGAAGAACCAAGGTCCTTCAGCATTTCTGACTTTCCACTTGAAAGCCTCCTCTGTGTCTGCATTCACAGAGCCCTAACCTTGCCTGCCCAGCTCTAAGCCTGGCTCCAGCCATCTTGGGTAGTGCCTTTGCTCTGGTCGCCTCGACAACGCTGAGTTAGGTCACAGGGGAAGTTCTACTGGCAGGTAGAAGGGAACAGAATGGTTAGCTGTGTTCTCAGTGGAACCAGACCAAGGATCTTCCTTACTGCAGATGAACAGCTTCTATTCTTTCCTCTGCTTGTCTGCAGACCAATGGGGAATCTCCTGCCCACCTCCTGCAACAATCGTAGTTGAGGTGGCAAGGGATCACCCTAGGCTTTTGCAGACAGGCTCGGATGGGGGTGAGAGAAGAGGGTAGGAGGCCCCGATATGCAAAGAGTTCCTGATCTCAGTAGAAAACATTCTTGCAAAAAGATTGCAACCCAGAAAGCATGAGGCTAGATCCTCCTGTGGCTATCAGCTCTGTGCAAGTAAATTATAAAAGGCCATTCTTTCCGTAGCCACCACTGGACTGGATTCTCCACTCTGCCTTCTAAATTCACTGTTCTGGCTTGTGAGTGGGACTCCTTTGGACATTAAAAGATAAACATGTATGCCCTCTTCTAGAAGGATACTTTGGTTTACCAGCAACATAATATTCTGCGTATTAACTATAGTAACATTGAGGAAAGTATCTTTGCAGATGTGATTAAGAAACTTGAATGGGAGAGATTATCCTGGATTACCCCAGTGGGCTCTAAATGACATCACAAAGGTCTTTATAAAAGAGAGGCATTAGAAAACTTAAATAAGGGACCAGGAAAATGAATAACTATAAGAAAGTGAAAATCAAAATCAACAAAAAACTATGAACCAGAGACACTTTTTGGGGTTGGGGGGTGGGAGGGGAGGGATTGGGGTCAGAATGGGGGGGTTGCAATTGTATGGGGGAATATAAAAATAAAATTTATTATTTAAAAAAAAGAGAGAGAGGCATTAGGATCTCTCTCTCTGTATTTCTCTCCGGCTGTCTCTGTCTCTGTCTCTCTGACTCTGTCTCTCTGTCTCTCTGTCTCTCTGTCTCTCTGTCTCTCTCTGTCTCTGTCTCTGTCTCTCTCTCTCTCTCTCTCACACACACACACACACACACACACACGGTTATGTAAAGATGGAACAGAGAGTGATTCAAAGATGTTGGCCCCAGAAATTGTAGTGATGTAGCCCATAGCCACAAGCTAAGAAATGCCAGCACCTACTAGAAGCTGAAGGGACCAAGAACAGATTCTCCTGGAAGCTCTGGTGGAAGTGTGTTTTGCTGAAATCTTGATTTGGACCAGTGCTATTAATTTTAGACTGTTGCCTCCAGAACAGTGAAAGGACAAATTTCTGTCATTTTAAATTGCCAAGGGTGTGGCAATCTGTTCAAGCAACCAACCACAGGATGCTAATTTGAGGTGCAATATCACTCTGTGCTGGACAGTCTTTGGACACACCCTGCTGTTGTTACCCTGGTCTCAGGACTCTTCTGCTGAAGGGTGCCTCCTTTCAGGGCCTGTAGAGGAAAAAGCAATGAAAAAAGTCAGGAGACTCGTTGGCTTTGAGCAAATCACTCCGCTTAGCCTAACAG